CCAAATCAATCGGGATAATTATAGCACAGATAATCGGGATACTTGTGACACGAAGATACAAGAGCAGCACTAACATATTTGTGTGTATATCAACAATAAAAAATCATAATTTTCTGTTCGGTAGTCATCGCGTCGAACCACAACTATCAATTATATCGAAAAATTCAAGAACCTCGCGTGTGTGCGTCGCTGTCGCAATTACCCTGAGTTGACCTTATCTGTGTATGCTCAAGGAGCGCGTGAGTTCCGCGCTTCGGTATCGCTCGAAATCAAGGTCGCGCTCTCCCAAAAGATCCTGCAGCCAGAGAATCGATTTGCATTCGCCAGATGCAAAGGGAGGAAGAGAAAGAAGAACGGAGGAGGACACGCGCGCAAGGTGATCACATGTAGGAACGAAGAAAGAATTCTTTGCGCACAGCTAAGAACCTCAACATTACCCACACGCCCACATGCGGCATACCGACATACACACGCGGCATACACACAAACGCAAGCACGCCGCAATATCAAACTACACACACGCACAGTACGACACGACCCACACGCGTAAACATACCTATGTAGACGATATCCATCTTGAGATATTCGGACGCAGCCATCGGATCGCCGACGTAATATCCAAGGGCACGCGTTATGCAGCGGAGCTTGCAACGAGATCACATCAATCACCGGAGATGCGCCGCGTCGGACAGCGAGCGAGCGAGCGCACACGCGCGCGCGCAACCACGCGAACGTCGCGCGAGTGCGAGCAGGAATCACCGCCGTGAGGTTAGAATCAGCCGCTCACAACGACCACGGTGACGGTACTGTGACGACGACGACGACGCTACGCCACTTGTTGATTCCGCACTGACAAGCCAAGAAGCACCGCTACGCCGTGACGCACACGCGACACTCGTGCACGTACAGGAGCGCCGCTCACTTACTCACTCAACGACTCACTCACTCTCTCGCTCACACATGCACCAACCGCACCAACGCGCTCGTCGCCGTCGTCACACGCATTCATACGCATTGACTTCTTGACTTTCTCTCTCTCTCTCTTTCTCTCTCGATTCCACGAAAGAGACTGCGATCCTCTGTGGGCTCTCACGACCGCCGCCGTCGTGGTCGGAAGCCACACAAGACACTTTGCGACATCCCGACAGACACTCCGATGCACTATCGCGACGTGCGAGAGAAACGGGGTCGCGAATCGAGAGACGAACTCGAAGATCGAATGATGCCGACGACAAACGCAGAAAGAGAGGAACGGAACACGAGATGGGACGACACTCGCCCGCTCAACGAGCTAACGTCAATCGACGACTGCCAAACGCAGTGCGCGCCGGCCGTATCACGAGCGAACTGGCAACCTCGGACGGCTCGTAAGGCCCAACTTCCCCTACCACGGAGCGTCAGGACGACGTTGCTCCGTTCTCGTCTGACCGCGTAGCCTTTTCTGCCGCATATCGCGCTCTTTGTCATACCGATCGCGAGAGAGAATTTCCCCTTTCTCCATGCGCGCCGCCAGGCCTTCTCGAACGATCGTACGAGAGAATAATGAAAAGTACTTAATCATCCCCGTTTTGATATCATAACAATCAAAAGGAAGACAGAACTAAAGCGAATGAACTACGTGTAGACGCTCGATGCATATAGCGTATGTTCACTATTGAATCTCTGTACAAGAGGCAAAGATTACGAATCTGTAAGAGATAACGTAAACCGATAATTTATTTGTACTGATAAAGATAATAGAACAAATGGAAATAGAGAAGCGGTTAAAGTATATTTCATATTCCCATGAACCTCGTAAATCTATTTTAATACGCGAGATAATATTGATTCAATCAACGATGTATTGTATTATTTGTATTTACGGAGTACGAGTTTTAATCGGTATCTTCCTTTGTTTTTTCGTGTATAATCTTGTTTTCATATGTGAGAATTTTAAAGAGACGCGTACGATAAGATTTTCTCGCAGAAGTTCATTGAGAAAAAAATATTTGAAAATTAATTTGTGATAAAAATTTACTTTATAGGAATAAAGTTTATATATATATATATTTTTTTTTTTATATATTTCACAAAAATATACTCTATATCCTATAAATAAATTTTTGAGTATTTTTTCGCAATATACGAGTCTCAAGGATACCGTGTACGAATTGAGTGTGCAGGCCCTACCTCGCTGACCATAAGACCCAATGTATCACAGGTAAACAGGGATTCAGAAACCGGCAGAGGTGGTCTACCGGTGAGCAGGTATAAATGCGCACTGGCCTCACTTGGGGCCCGTCACCCGAAAAAATTAGGCCCACGATAGGTTGCACGAGCTAAATGGATACTGCGATGTATAAACACGCTAAAAAAGCCTAAGCTCTATTATGGTCTTAGGACATACTATGAATTTGTTGTGCAAACAACATAATTTCCACGAGACAATCCAAAAAAGCTAAAAGGCAAAGTACCGAGTCTGAAAAAAAAATTACGTTTAAAAAAACTTTACTTTACTTTTAAAAAAATATTACGTTTGAACATCTCGATAGCCACTAGTGACTATTTTTCGGCGAGAGGTCGCAAAGATTCAAAGCAAAAGCGAATCATATAATTCATAACGTTCACTCTACATACTTAAAATAGACGCTTTAATATTCAAATTTAAAATAGACTTCACAGATCATGGATTCATTTCGATTCCGCTCCAAACTCTTTACTCTTTTCAACTTTTACTAGCATCGCGGCGAAGTAGAGATTTACGACTGATATCAATTTTCGATTACGAATAATAGCACGATCCTTTCGCGAGGTCGGATCTCGCCAGCCGTGTGGAAATGCGAAAGCTTGAATTTCCAAGTTTCGCATTGCAGCTCCATCGCTGATATGACGAAACTGGTACACTTCTGTATCAACGCTAATGTATTCCCAATAGAAGTGCACGTGGTTGTACCGTTGAAACGCTCGTGTCAATAATCCTGAAGATAGCATTTTGATGTCGTTACACATTGACTTCACTGATAGCATTATACATAGTCGCATGTCTGTTTCACACGCGCTTTATAGATACGTATCTAATTAGTTTCATCTCTGGAATCTATTTACGATAATGTCAATTAGTATTATTACTATGAAAGATGCAGGACGAAAATTCGAACTATATTTCTTCCTTTTCTCGCGCTTTCAAAGTTCACGAGAGAGAGACAAAGAGAGAGAGAGAGACTCGTGAATTATATATAGAAATCTTCTAAAGAATGCTTTCATCCTTCAAATATTTTTATTCAATTTTATTTCGATGAAAATTTAATTTCGTTCTTAATCACAAGACAATTCAATGTCAATAATTAAAAAATGTCAGCAAACTAAAGCGAGATATTTAAGATTGCCATTCAGTTTATCCTTGATTAAACTTTAGTTAAAAATTTAATTTTTAGTTGAATATAACACAAGTTATACTTTTAGTTTCAACTTTTCTAATCACTAACATATATTAAGCTTACTGTGTGCTGTAATTTTGCAAGGAATGACCTTGAATTAAACTTCGATTGAAAAAACTAGTGAAAAATTCGTCGTACTTTTTGTACAGTTAATTGCGATTCTTCGAAGTCTCTGATCTATCCTATATCAAGAGAACGTCGCAGCTGGATTACTGACTAAATTCGATATCAACAAAGTTACGGCGATAACAGGTAACTACCTTGACCGCCATTCACGCCCCACCGAATATATCTGAGATCTATTCGTCCACTCGGACAATTTCAGGAGATAGCCTCCCGCTATTTCCGAACTTATGGGACTTACCAGACCGCAGAGCAAGAAGATTACTACAGTTTCCGGAGTACGTGTCCTTTTTTGTCGACAAAATAACTCCTACAGTGTAACTTGCTCTCACCTATTTCACGGTTACGATTTTACGGTTAACTGTCATCTTAACTACACTCAATACTGTCACTCAAGCGATTTAATACGATAAGAATATCTTTCGTCGATTATCTCTTGCAAAATGACACAATCGTAATGTAAATTTAAAAAAATCCTAAATCACAAAATATAATCTATATAATTTCTCAAATATGATGAATATATTTTAAATTTGAATTTGTTAGCTACATTTGTATTCGACTACTTAAGAAAAGCCTAAAGGATGCGCATAAGTGAGCATAATTATACTCTAAAATGATTTTGGATAATAGTAGATATCTTTTTTGATATCTGGAAAATTAGCTGAGTTGTATCTACTAAACAGTTAGAAATGATTCGTCGAGACATTATCGAAACAACGTTGAAACGACGTCAACTTATCACTTTCGACAGGAGAAAGTAAACACACTGATAGACGTAGAAATAGTTAGACCACTTAGAGCAATGGTTTGCTAATTCGGAAACAATGCCGTCGTTATGTTTCTAGTATTTTTCCTGTCAATAGTCATTATTTGGAGCAGTTCAAATGAACGTAAATGAAGAAAGCTCCAAAGGAATTTCACCGCATTTCTCGACAAGACATCTTTGTTACTTCTTTTTTTCTTAGAAACTTACCTCAAACTGAATATGAAGTTTCATATTCGCCAGTGAATAAAACTTTTTATTATACCGACTTTAATTCCTAACTGGCCTTAGGCCAAAAGAGACGAGTAATGTTATTACACCGCACAAGTTAAGAGTTAAATCAGATTTATTAACCCTTTGTGGTGCTACGTTAAGCAGAACTGCGTATAATAATTCATGATAATCCTGTATATATCCTTTCAAGTGCACGAGACAGTCGACGAGTAAAATTTGCGAACAGTATTCCTAGAAAGCTTCCATAATTTTCTACAAGCAACGTAAATTACACGCGCAAAATATGAATTTTTTAAAACTAGTTATAGAATTGATTAGAAAGAATGGAAGAAATGAAAAGACGTATTGAAATCTTACGTGAAATCGGCGAAACCAAATCATACAAAAAACGTACACAGAGATACATACAACAAAGTAACATAAAAATAGGATATTAATCAGTTATTAATTATTATACTTACATATATCGTCCATCCCACATTGATGTATCTTCTCACGAGTATATATGAAGAATTCGCGAAGAGATCTATTCAGCCACATTTTTGGAATTCACGACAGTTCTTAATTATACTCCAACAGGTGCCATATTTCTTTAATAACCGTATTCTTTAATAGTCATTCGCATCACGTTTACAGTAAGTCTTCAAGAAACCATGAAAAGTATATGTCGGTTTAATTATTACGAGGCGACGTTTATCATGAATGACGTAAGTGGCCAAGCACGCATCCGAGACGTTTAAGTAATAACAACACAAAAGCACGTATAAGTAAACCTCCGCCTTTGCAATATTTCCTTCCTCAATCTCTAAATACAAGCAAGTAGTACGTTCGTTAAGAGTAAACTACCATAGTTCCGAGTGAATTTACTTCGACAGATTACGGATGTTAAGTACACATTGGTAAATTTGATTTCGCATACAAGCGATTTCGATTTTCGCGCCCGCTACACTGGGTCTCCCTCCCTTTCGGAATTACGGAATTAATTATCGCGAAATCATTAATGGTACATCAACATCATTAAAACGGACAAAAATAGTTCTAAATGCTATTTTTTACGATATTGCTTTTCTACAGTACATATCAACATACGTGTGAATTCTTTAATAGATATGTTCCTAATCTTACCGTATTTTTTCGACTGGGAGGTGATCCGTGCAATTAGATAACGTGCAACACGTAATCGAGTATCAAGTGATAAATTTTGTGCAAGGCAATCAATATCATGTGATTTGGTTAACTTGGAGTTCCCCGAATAGCTGACATAATTTCAAACAGTGTAACAACGGTATTGTGTGGAATAACGGAAAAGTGTACACGCGATATATGTTCTTCTTGCAACTATAATTAATTGATTCGTAAATGAACATTGTATGCGTATGTCGTGTCGATATAACCGGCTGCGCACTGATTACATCCGCGCATTGTCATTTAAACCGGCCAATGTCGGGCTGGCAATTACGATGGAACGGGGGAGATATAACTGTCTACTTGATCACGATGAAAACGTCTCTGTATCTAATATCAGCCTTATTAGCTTTGCGGTTTTGACGGAGTGCGCATCAATATCGAATTTTCTCGTCGTGTATTTTCCCAGAGGCTATCCGATCGTGTGTTTTCAATGAAACTAATTAACGTCTAGCACGGAGATGTAAACACGCCGTATACCGTAATATCGCAATATCATAAGATACCGTAATACGGAGAATTATAAAAAATTTACGAGAACGTACTCAGCACTCGGAACGATCACGAACACACGCGCACTCACTTCCATTGCCGACCGTAACGAGAACAACAAATCCTCTCGTTCATTTGCTAATGGAGGGTAGAGTCACTCAAGAGGTCTTTATAAGCGCTTAGCGGCGTAAATTTTTCTCAGCATGGGAGGAGAAACGTACTTTCGCAAAAGCTACTTGAAAACTTGTGTCCCGGAGAACTTTACCGACTTCACTTGGTTCTCATGTAATCGCCAAACACTTGTTATTTCCGAGCGATCCGCGTGCGATCCACCGCATCTATGAAAGTCGGGGAACTTCTATAATAAGAGCGCGCATCTCTGACTTTCCATGTAACTTGGAACGACCTCATGGGACGCAACCCGTCGCGACACTGCGCGGTGTCCAGATTTCGTCCCTGCGGGTGATCTCTCTAGAAGTTAGCGCCGACGCATCGTGTCTTGCTGTTCGATATAATCGACGTATTAAAAATACGTTGGTTAATAGAAAAGTTCATTAGCGCTTAATTAAACTTTGATACCAGTTACGCTCGCAGAAGATAATGCTTGAAATCACTGATTGGACGATTAGAAATCTGTTCAATCATGCCAGAAACTTTAAAAAAGACTCGAAAAAAGACTAATATCTTTTTATGAATATTAAACGTTCGTGAATAATTACAAAAGAATATCGGCCTTTTTTATTAAGCTGCAAGTTCGATCAATGCGAACACTTCGCGAAGGGACATACTTTCTAGCTTTTTTCTTAAATTACAGATTTAACCAATATATCACCTCACATCGCAATGACATTATCGGGGAGAGAGAGCGAGAAATTAGAGATAAGAATTGATAATATAATTTCTCCTCCTCACGCGAATGCATCGCCAGCGATTGCGCCTTGGGACATCCGCCGGACAGTGCCGACGTTACATTTATTTGCCAACAGTTAAGTACACACGAAACCTAATTGCCGCGATATTAGCGCGTCCGCGTTATCCGTCCGAATATTTTTGTCCCATGCTATGTCTACACGTTTTGAAGTAAATTTAATAAGACGGTCGAATAAAAAGACGCAATCTATCGGATGATTTGTTATTGGACGATTTGCGGTTATGAAGAACAACAATAATCATCTATAAAAGGACGTTGCTAGCAAAAAAGAGCGAAGTTAAAAGCAAAAACATGATCGCGTCGATCATTTCTATTTATAATCGCGTAAACGATATATGTTGTCACGACTCCGCACAGAAAAGGAATGACGTTGCGTTGTCAACCGCGAGAGACTAGGTATTAACATGAAGTCTAGAATGTAGCAAACTAGTTACGTCGTAAATTTCAGTCGCGATATGGCACGCTTGAAACACGAGTGAAGCTTCAAGCACGAGTGAAGCTTCAAATTTCTCAGAGATAATTGTTTAAGTGAGCGAATACTAAAGTATTTAAACAATTGTAACGCTCCTATTATATATATGATATTATATAAATGCCTTTAGAATTTTTGTTATTTTCGTTTTTACATATATGTTGTTTCTATTTATATATGTCATTTTTGTATGATATTATTTCAGTATTATTTCATATATTTATCAAATTTTCTTTTCATGTTATTGAAATTCTTACCTTTTGTATTTAAGATTTGCTCCTCGACGGTCTCGCTCTGTCGCGACTCCTCCTGAACCTGAACAATCCAACGAATTTTTCTCCGCTGCATCTGAAACAACCAACCACATAACACAATCACTGTCAGCACTGTCACTGTAGAAACAGCAAAATTTTCTAGTAACGAAAGGATACTACTACGAAAGCGCCACGCGATTTTGCTATCGGTTCTAACCACTAGACTGAACGAGATTAGTAGCGTAAGGCAGATTTAAAGCCGATGCGCGACGGTATCGCTGCGATTATTTTTTATGGACGGAGGTTCGCCGATAATACGGGCTGAAGTACTGCTTCCAGCAGTAGCATTAATTCGTGACCTGCAGATTATTCCAAATATATTTATGATACGAGAGAGACGCACGACACAGTTCACGCGCAAACAACAAAATGAGCGTTCTTATCCAAATCTAAAAAAAAATAAAATATCTTCTGACTCTCCACTCGTACTTGAAACTGCGATGGAATTACATCTGCGCGCAATCTACATCTCGACAATATAAATAATATTTATAACTATTATATGTACCGATATAATTCCCTTGATTCCTCGATTTTTTAACGCGCGTATTATTAATGAACGCTTTTTACTACCACGTATATTTACGTGGAAGTTTATTATTTTTATTCTTGACGAAGCGCTACTTTGGTAGTCAAGAGAACTTAGCTGTATAATGACATAAATAGTTTTCTTATATAATTAATAAGAGCACTTTCACTGCCAACGTTAATTCGCTTCGGCAAATGTCCATCAATTACAAGCAATTGTAACACATTGTATGTTAACTTGGAACATTTGTCACTCATTGCGCATCAATTTACATATACGTATACACACAAGCGATATTCGCACAGATTGCAAACGATTACGTGCATCCTATTGTATAATTATTAATGGAAACACAGTTAACCAATGTAAAGCCTCGCGTAGCAAATGACAGCGCGACTGTTTTCCTATGCAATCCGCATAATTCACGTCTCGTCGTAATTCACTACCGCGGCCACGAAATCACATACATGACACGTTTTCATTTCACGAGCAACAACTGATGTGCACACGAGAGTGCACTTTCATTCGCGCCCGATTGACCGTAACTACGAATATATTATTTACCTTGTGATCTACTCTGTGCGTTAACAGAGAAAACGCGCGTTTTTCATATTGTTCGGTGGGACATTGTGCGTCGTTAACGGACAACCCGAAGCCGCGTCGGCGGACGAGCACTGACAGTGATTTGTCTGTCAACGGAAGTGACTGGACTGATCGGATGACTCTCGTTGCGACGCGTACTATGCGTGTTCACACCGTAGACTTCGCCACGAGGAGGAATTGTCAGTAATACGCCTGCTTGCGCGGTTTCGCCGTCGGCCGGCACTAGTGCGCGAGTGCGTGTTACTGCACATCGCTCGCCGCAAATTCCGACGACTAATCCTCTCCGGCGAACATCATCTCGCCTATGCATGCCATTGAAAACTTGTCATGCAGTGCGATAACCTGTAGAAATAGATAATTTTGCGATATAAATCTGCGCCTTAGGAGAAAAGCTTTGGTTAATATGTTAATTTCCACATCTTATAGTCGAATAAATTATTTGTAAAAAGTACGGAAACTAAATATTCTTTAAGCTAGTCTCTGTTATATCAATATTATAATGTAAATAAAGTTTATACTTTTCTCAATAATATCTTTACTGCATTCTTGATTTAGAAGGAACCACTTTTTAACCGTTAAATATGGCGTTTGCTAAATCGCCATATTTAATCTATACGATTCTCTATCGATGATCTATCGATCATCTCGATATTCTAGATATCGATACTAATCGATTGATGGAATATCGAGATGTATCAATCGCATGAGACTATTATGATGAATCTCATTGGTTTACGACCAATTAATTATTGGCCAATAGTATATCCGTTCTCGACTATTATCAATAAGAAGAAGAAGAAACTCATTGGTTGTGTTTAGCCAAGTTCAAAAGTAACTCGTAAGGTGTCGCATTAGTCTCCTGAAGGCAATCATGTAAAGATTTCTAGACGTTTCTAAACGTTTCTAAGTCAGAATTTTTTATGAACTTAAGAGAAAATTCATAATCGATTCAAACCTAATGGCTCCTGCACACAGGACGCGGTAATACTTGCCGCGCGGTGGAAGTTTGCGCGACAGCCAATCAATATGCTGCTTTCCGTAATAACCTTCTAGCTCTTATGGTAAAACAACATATTGATTGGCTGTCGCGTGGACTTCCGCCGCGCGGCAAGCTTTACCGCGTCCTGTGTGCAGGAGCCACAAGAACTAACAAATTTGGTTTTTATAATTGCACTAGTAAAGTGAAATCTCAATTTTCAACATCGTGCTCGTACTACGAGTTCCGGCTTAACCATCGTTACGTTAAGACGTGTTTGAACACGTTCTTTTTTGGAACACGGATTTTTTGGAATTCGTATCTCGGTATCTTGAATGAAAAAACAATAGAGATAAATCTGAGTCCAAGTAAAATAATAAGAAGAATAAGTGCTCGTACTACAATTAGGTTAGGAAAACTAAAAGAAAAGGAAAATGTTTCTCATGTATTCTGTGGATGCTAATGGCAACCGAATATACACCTTAAAAGTAATTATCTCTTAAAATATTAAGTTTATATATAATAATTTATATTACTTATTTATAATGCTATTCAACTATAAAGGTCTTGTATTTTACATATCATATATTTTGTCATTCTACATTTTGTCCTAATTTCTTTGTCACTGTTTTTCCTGTAGTGTTTAATAATTTTGTATATTTATTTTTATTGTATATTGAATTTGCAGAAAATGGATTCAAATGGGAAACCTACATTATCAGCACATCCAGGTAATTTAATGGAAATAATAGTTGTATTTTTATTATGTATCGTACTTTCCTCTATATTATAAAAAATGTGAATGTTTAATGTTGCAGCTCGATTTTCTCCAGAGGACAAATATTCAAGAGAAAGAATAACAGTGAAAAGAAGATTCAACCTGCTTTTGACACAATATCCCTTACCTGCTTATTAAAATGTTTTGTTGCATCTGTCCTTTGGAGATTGTTGCACCATGTAGGTGCAACAATATATATTATTTTATATAAATGTGTATATAGGAATAATATTTTCTATAGATGCAAGATACAAGAATTATAATAGCTTGGTACTTGTCATGCACTTAGATACAATAATCTATACTCATATCAACAGAGGTAGCTCAACTTAAACACCCACAACTTCCTATAGTGATAATTATGTGAAATATACATGCACAGGGTCATTATACTGTCATGAAACTGTAACCAATACCACAATTATAATTGTCAAATTGTTTTTGACAGAAATTTAACATAAATTGAAAAGTTTAGATTATATATGACTTGTCACATTATGTTATATATAACAATATATTTTTTAATAATAATAATAACATACTTAAAAGTGGATTCATACAATATTATTATGTAGCATGAATAAAATAGTATTCCTTGTATACATCAAATTTTACTACATACACATGTATGTTTGCTATAAACAGAATTTATTTATAATCCACTATCTCTCCATATAAAAAATAAAAATTTTATTATATACAGCATTTTCTGAGTTATATTGTTTTATTTAAAAAATGCCCTAATATGATTATGATATAGATGCAATTTTATTAAGTTAATACAAATTTCTGTAATTGTTATTTGGTAATTTGTTAAATTACGTATAAAACAAATATTATTATCGTGATAGAAATTGAAATACAAAACTCTGATGTTAAAGTAGCTGTCTTACAATATTCTTGTATCCTTAGTCAATAATATATTAACATGTGACTTTATTGAATATATCTATATTTAAAAAAGTGTAATGAAAGTTATAATCCATCACATCTATGTACACGCAATCATATGTATACATATGAACATGTAACATTAGCTGCATGTTTATATTCATTTTATATTCTTTGTCATAATATTTAAATCACCTACCAAGTGCAAGTAAATTTAATAACCTACATGTTCCTAATAATGTTCATATCTTATTAACATTCCAAGATGGCTCATTTAAATGAAACACCTGATTATATATCTTATGTAGAAGTAACACAGGAAAGTGTATACTTCCTTAATCATTTTTTTTATAAATTTAGAAGAAACTATATATCATAGATAATGTATAAAAAATGCCAATGTTACATGTTTCACTATATTCATATGTTATAATAGATACAAATATGCTTTGTAGCCAAACGTAAAGACGCTAAATTATAGTATTATTCGCATATGTTTTCATATATATAAATACATTGTATCTAACAGTTCTTTATAGTATATAGCACATATTTGTTTTTACATTATGCTACAACGTAATCTGGTGAACATTAAATCAGAGTGCTGCTTCTTTATTTTCTTGAATATTATAAATATGGTTGCATTTTATATATGATAGTAAATATAAATATACAGATTATAGTTAAATAACATAAACGTGAAATATTAAACTAAATAAATATTGAATTTTTCAGTTATATATAAATTTGTGACAAAAATATAAATCCCATATAATTATTTAACTTAAAATTGTATTGGGGTTAACTTCGCAATATTATACGTACAAACATGTGATAATATTTTATTCTAATTACTAATTATTATACATGCAAAATAAAATAACTTGTAAAATATATTTTAATTATTAATTACGTCAGTATTCAAGTATGAATATTTGGTTTAACTTATTACCGAATCTTATGATTATGTAAAAAAGAATATACAGAGGGCCAACAAATACAATAAAAATATATGTATTTTTCAATATACTATTTAGAAATGTCTCCTGAAAAACTTTAAATAACAAAAACATGCTTCTATATAAATACCAGTTCTAGAATATAAATTTAAATTTAAAAAAATATATAAATATCAATGTGATTAAGAGAGAGTATTGCGATTATTCTATTTACAAAAATGAAAGGACTATATACATTATAATATCCTATAAAATATGGCAACAGAAGAGAATTTTTTTTATAATATCCAATTCTAATTATAATAAATGCTAACAAGTAATATAAACAGTCGTAATATATTTTGTTCTTTCTTTTTACACATACGCGCGTGCATATACACTCAAATTTAGTTAATGTATAAATATCATTGTGAAAGAACACATTTACTTTTACATAATATTAATTAAATAAGTTTCTATTTTACGTACCAAAACTGTGTGTCTACGAGTCTATTACTATGCTACAATTTAACAAATAAAAATATGGGATACTTATTCAAACTTATGAGTATATTACTAACAAATATTTGTACAAATTTTACATATTTAATGTAAAAAAAACTGTTACATTACCATCTTAATATTAAGATGGTATAAAATAAGATATATTTAAACAGAGTTATAGATTTATATAAACTGTAAACAAATGTATATTATGAAAGATATAAAATTATTAAAATGAATCTTGTTTGTTATGCATATAATATGGAAAAAATATAAGTACATAATTTAGAGCAAAACTAAAATAAACTTTAGTAACGTTTATGTAATATAGAATGATTAGGAAATAAAATGTTTTTCAATATCTCTTTGATGTGAAGTTATGTTTTTGTGGTAACATATTAAATTTTTATGAAATCATTATTGAAACGTAAAATATAATAAAAAATATCCAACATAAATAAATTTTTCAGCCAATATAAATGTATTACAACAAACTAAATTTTTAAATAAAGATTTTTTTGTGACATTATTTCAAGCTATTAATTGCAAGTTTAATTTTTTACAAGTAGCTTTAGAGTAATAGAAAATTAAAGATAACTTCTATATGGCATTTTCTACATTTTTAACTACATTTCTTGGATTTACAACGCTAATCTGTTTATTCCAAGATATTTTATATTGATTGATGCAGTTTATCTTTTATCTATCGTGTAAATTAAAAGATGAAATATTTTATATAGTCGCTTATTTTGATAGAAAAACAATATATAAATTCTCTTGAAGATATTTTGTAAATAAGGCCATTCACGACTGGTATTACATTAAAGTAAGACGCGTACACGCTTTTGACAACAATCTATACACCTTTAATTCGATTCTGATGGAGCTGCTGGCAGAACATGCACTTGTTGTGCTTTACTGGCATTATACACCTGTCCTGGGCTAAATGGCTCTAATCGAGGACCAGATCCTACGTCATTTTTATTACGGACGATATCTTGAAATAGAAAACAAACAGAACAATTACAAAAGTCTGTACAAAAGTAATAAATTTTTTTTTTCATTTGAACAGAATTAGATATTTTCAAATAAGAATTTGATTAATCTGCTCACAAGTTAATTAACATAGATTATATACATAAGTGTGTCGCGTAAAATGTTCGAACTTACCGTTTTTCGACTCCGCCGCAGGTATATATCGAGATAATCTAACAACAGGGAGAGGCAAATAACCACTTGTCAGAGGCATCACATCTAGAGTAACACTTTGTTTCTCTAATACTTCTAATGATACAATGCCTGCAGTCCGGCCGCACACTGCCCACATAGTTTGGTCCGCTAGAACCTCGTACATTAATTGTGGTGGAGGACTCGGACTAAGACTAGGTAACACACGCATCACCGTAAGACAAAGGTGGCACATACTACCAGCGCGACAAAATTCTCCTCCACCACCACCTGCTTCAACTTTTGAGGATACCGTGAACAAAGTCTGGAAAGCATGATTACGAATCAAAAGTTAATGTTGTATGGTTTCAGTATGTGTACAGAATGCTGTCATACTTTAAGTGTTACAAGTAACATCAGTAATTGCTGTGTATTATATATTTTCATTAATCCGGCTTTTGTTCTCTTATACAAAACAAAAAATAATAAAAAGATGAGATGAAATCAAAATATTATTAAAATATATAAGTTAATAAGGAATACCATAGGGAATATAGTTATTAAAAAACAATTAGTGAAGGACAGTTAATAAGGAATAGTTTTACTTAAAAGAATAATTATATATTATTTATAATAAGAGATAATTGTGTTCTTACCACATAATCTGTAATATCAAAATTGCATCTGTAAATGCTACACGCTTTCTCGATTTTCTCTAAATTATGTATATGTAGTGGATCGTCGTTGACGCATGTATCGTTTAACTCTTCAGTATCACTAATTGGTATATATTTTACACGAAAGTCAGTCTTTATTGGTATCGTGGATTTCTCATCTTTTCCGATCTCAAGTTCCCACATAAAGGAAACGTTCATTCCACTACCTATCACTAATCTCTGACCGGCGACAGGATTTAAGCTTTTAAAATTAACGTCTATCGACGTAATTGTCGTTAATTCGGGTTCGGTTAACTGCAAGAGCTGATTTGTCAAACCAGTTACGACTATTTGAACAAATTTCCTTTGTTTCGCTGTATGGAGTTTCATGCTCGACATTAGAGGTGGGCCAAAATGTAAAGATATACTTTCTTCCGAACCCCAAGGACATTGTATATTTAACTGAAAAAATTGCAAATTGTAACATTTATCAAATAGGAGAGAATAACGAGAGAACAAAAGAAAGATTTTTATACAAAAGTTAGATACTTTATGTTCCATAGATGAAGGATCCTTCTTTGGTGGGAGTTCAGCTAAAACTTTTAGCTGCATGTTTAAAGTTTGAAATGGTTTACATGTTAGCAGTGGTATCTCTAATTCTTTTACCATTACTTTCTCAACACCTTGCGATTGCACCGTCAACCCACGTGATGTACGTAGTTTCAATTTCATTTCTTCAGTTATCTTTGTACTTCCGCTTGAAATGACTAACTCGATGTCTTGACTGAGACCAGCTAGTAAATCTCTCCCGCAATTTACAGATATTGTCGGCTGCGTTTTTGCCACTTCATAGCATAATCGTGGATTCAGTATGGATGATAAAAATTCCAACTTGCCTTCTATTATCATCGACAACTGACTAACTTTGTACAAACCCGGCTGATTCACTCGCCTCACCAGTACGAACGTATTCGGACCAGGTTTCATAATGAACTCGTCGCATAAGAGCGCTTTGCTAAAATCACCCTTCGCATTGATCGAGGGTTTTCTATGTTTCGCACTATCCGAACGCCTCACGAGTGGCTTCATATTTTTATTTATAACACTTGCGGAACCGAGACTTCTGTCCTCCTTATAATCCAGATAAGAATATACTTGCAAGTGTAACAAGCTTGGATCAAGTGGCTTCATATCTTCTAATGTACACTTCGATAAGCTGAAAAAATTTTATCACACGAGTGAAAAATAAAAATAAAGCGATATATATAATCCTTTCGCTGATACTCACAGTTGTACTGAAGGCTCAATAGGAGCTTTCAACCCTTTCTTCTTATTAGGTGCAGATGGCTTTTGTATCTCCTCTACAGAAATCGCGACACTAGTGCATCTTACTTCTCGAGGAAACGAGCTCTGTACACTGACTTCGACACTGACAACACAGTCTTGCACCAACTTGTCCATTACATTAACTTCCATACTGAGTATTGTAAAAGCACATCCGAGTTCTGTGAGTAACGGCTGAGGCGCAGAGATCATTTTCATGTATCCTAACATTTCCTCGAAGTATGTGTTACGCACGGTTATGTGCAAAACGTTTGTACTAGCTACTGCGGCGCACATTTTAGTATACTTCTCGACGTCGTCCATCCGTTTATAACACTCGGCTAGTTCGAGTCGCGTCTGCGCTGCCAAATGATTCCACCCTTCGTCCATGTAAGTTTTCAAAGCGTCAGATAAGAATGCGACCGATTTCTGATTTTCCCCGAGCTCGCTGTAAAACCGTGCCAATTCCTTGCCGATTAATCTAGCCGACCTAATGCGACCGACGTGTTTGTATGTACCCATGGCTAACTCCGCATGCTCGAGATACTGCTTTTTGAACGCTTCTTTGGACGAAAGCGCCTCCTTCAATTTGTCGGTAGGTGTTAGTTTACCCTCTATTTGTGGCTCTGAATCGCCTATGCCCGCTATAAGATATACAACTGTATGTAATTGTTCACTAGTTGGTTCGCTTCCCGGCATTAGGCCGCATAATCTTCCTAAGCTTCCTAACTGAAAAGAGAAAAAAAAAAGTATACAATAGAGATGAATGAAAAATCACATTTTATCACTGTGTGTATCGTTTCATTTTTTATTCAAATTTTAAATCATCTAACATTTTAGGAGAAGAAAGATAAAACTATACACTCAATATCTTATTTACCTTGTCCCTTGCAAGTGCCCATAAGCTAGCTGTATGTAAAGAGCATAGATCCAACTGTTGATTGTTATCAATATTGTAGGCGGACAATTGACACGCTTGCAAAACCTCTAATGCACAGAGAAACGACCAGCATTCTATAGATCCTTCGGGTTTCTGTACTTCTAAGATTCTGAGCTCGCTCAATGTGTTATGAACAAATGACAGGCACCTCTGTGCAACCTACTCAAGAATATTATTCAAAGATGTATAAATTAATCACCAATAACCACTGAACTTCTCCACACGTACCTCCCAAGGTTTATTAAGCAATAGTAGCATGGCACATTGTCTACTAAATAAGTAACTCCTAAGATCTAATAAAGATGCTCTACACTCGGCCAAGAGAAACCTTAAATGATGATTTGTACCATTGTTTAGATTTACACCCCCCCAATTGTTGAGAGGAGTTTGAAAAAGACTTAACCAGCCTGGAGTATCTACGAACAGTTTGCCTATATTTAGGTTTTCACTTTGTATCAATATCTTCACATTCAATGTTTTTACTAATATACTTTTACTTAAGATTATGCTTTGAAAAAGAATTACCATACCTCCCACATTAGAATTGAGCACAAATTGTGTAAAGAGAGCGTCTAGTTCATCATACTGTACCAATGCTTCGTCATATAGACCCAGCATTTGCAACGCGAATGCCAATTCTTCCTGAAACGCCGATTCAACTTTACAGTAAAAAAGCGAAAGTCTTCAAACTTATATCGAGACTAATATAAGACTATTTAACGAAAACAAAAATTCAAGGCAAACTTTTTACTACCTGTAGAAGAAAATAATGGCAGAAATTCCAACTAGGATTGTTTCGCCTTTCCCTCTGCTCGCGTATAATATCTTCAAAGCGTGAAAGAGTTCTATCGTACGCGGTTAACATCAAATGACGAATGCGGGTTATCAAGCCTCTCCATGATTCAGCCGAACGAGATTCAGACTTAATTGGATTAATTACAGCAAAGCATCTGATGATCATAAACATAATTTTCAGGAAAAGAAATAATTTCTCAAAATCTTATAAAGTCGATATATACAAGCTCACACGTTTCTATGTTTGGAATATAATAATTGAATTTGTATTGATTGTAGCTGATTACCTATCTCCATTCTTGGCAGCAAAATCACTCCGTATTTTATCCAAAACAGTAGTCCTAGGTAATAATTTATTGGCCTTCTTTACATCATATGTCTCCACTAGAACAATCATCCAATCTTGGATATGGTATGAATTCAGTATTTTTAACCAAGCATCAATATCATCTCTGATACTAGCTTTATAAGTATCAACATCCTGTAAATATATATAATACAGATGAAATAATATACAAATACAATTAGATATTAAAAGTACCTTTATTTTAATGTTTCTAAACATATAATTTTATATAAAACAATAATAATTAGTTTAATTAAGAGAAGTCACATCCTAGACATTTACAGAAATTTGTTATTTAACTCAAATATAATAAAGTATAAAAATTTCTGTAAAAACTTACAGAGCATTCACTCCAATAAATATGAAAGATTGGTTGCTTTATAAGGTGCCAATCTTTTTCAGTGGGCAATATATCCCTAGAAAATGGCACAAAGGTAGCTCCAAGTTTAACTTGTTTAATCGGCCTGCTAAATGATCTACGCCATTCTACTGTATCTGCAGGTATAGCTTGTACTAAACCCTTTTCCAATGTAGAAAACAAATTTTCATCTCCAGCACCTGTATTATTGCAAAATCTTTATTATATTATTATCCTGCAGTCAATCCTTCAATCATATGTTTCTGATTCATACTTTAAAATGTTACATAAAACAAAGTATAAATTTATATAAAGCAAAGAATATTCCACAAAACATATATACAGATAAGATATATATACACATACACACACACATATATATATCAGCATTGTTAAAAAGTCTACCATGTATTATCATTACATTATTGATAAAGAAATTTAATTATCTAAAAAGAACATTTAATCATCCCAAAGAATCCACGTTGTATAGATCATTAAGAGAATACTAAGTATTTATTAGAAAACATATGTTCCTCAAATATATGTTTCGGAAAATCGAATGAAATGTGCATCCGCAACTTCGAAGTTAATAACTAACGCATCGCTCGATCCAGTGGATTCGATTCGGGCGACAAACATTAATTATTTTGAACGACTGAACACAAGGAAGAAACATCGCGGGAATTGACAGGTAAACAGGAAGTCGAGGGCGTCGGTGACAGCGGGCGACACGGCGGCGCGGTGTCATCAACGACATCGTGTAGAGGTTAAAGGTGCTCGATCGCGCGACGAACTCACAGGTGACGATTGGTTTGCTATCCATAGGAGTGTTCGCTTTGCGCGCTTCGCCAACCACGGACGACCCTCCATTGCCGTTCATCTCTGAAAACTGGCGACTACGAGCTCGCTGCTCCCGATCGGGCTTTCAATCATTACAACTCTACACGTTACTTTCGTCACTCCGTGTGCGGAAATCTTCGGTCACCCTCGACTCGGGACTCGCGCGAGTCGATTGCCCGATGTGACTTGTAGCAAGCTCGGAATCTTGCCACGACAAACAATCGGCGTAGAAGACTAGAAACGATTATACGGGTCAAACATTTTACTTCGCACTTTCAAGCTCTATTGAGGTTGGAATTGGACTCCTCATTTGTCGTGGATGTCGTCTTGTATCGAATCACTTGAAACAATGATCTCGATATCTCGTTATTTTAAACTTATTATTCGCTTCATATTTGTCGCTAAATTTAATAAAGATGAAGAATAGACGATTTAAATAAAGAAAATAAAAGATCTTGAAGAAAAAATGAGAGTTGTCTAATTTGCCGGTGAGTCATGCTACTTGAAAAAGTCCGTCTACTTTGTTGTTGAGTTGTATTACTATTTAAATTTCAGTCAACTCGTGGCGACTCGTAGCGAAACTTTCAAACACTTTGCAGTAATGGCCGATTCGCTAAACCGTAAAATGTGACTGCGACAGGTTAGGTTAAGTTTGACGAGTTTATTTTCCGATTTATTACTAACGTCTGTAAGTTATTAGATCGAATTGCGTTACAATTTTTAACATCAAATTACACTGCACTGATTCGAAAAAACTGAATTATACAAAGTAGATGAGTTTTGAAATATATAATTTTAGGAGTATACAATTTTTTGTGTTATCTTTTATTTTCACAACGCGTTGTTATTACCTTTCTGTGATCTTGTTCAAAGCAATTTATTGAAATTTCATATATATAGGAGATGTATCAAAGTATAGCGAAAAAAATACCTGGCGACGTACTGCCTCCCTCGAAAAAAGAAAGTCAAGGATATATTAAGGATTTAAAGAAAATACAGACGTTTAAGATAGAGGAACTTTTAGAAAGACAAAATAATATACTTGCCAATAAGTAAGTGTGATATGAATTTGTATTATATTGTGATATTGAAGATAGTATTTAATTCATTGCTGTTCTCTTTCTCTCTTCAGAAATTTTATTTCTAAACTTCCTGATAAGGGAAAGAAAATTATTAACTTCCGTGATAAGATATTGAAAGAACTTGAGGATAGAAATGAAATAGAAAAAGCAGCTAATTTACTATCACGTCTTAACATAGCATCTGAAGGCAAAGCTGCTATGAGCAAGTTAGAATGGACAGGCAAATATAATAGTAATGACAAGAATAATGGTGATACAACCAAAATTGTTGAACTGGATAGTGATGAAGAAGAAGATCCATTAAAGATATTAGCTCAGGTAACTGATAATTTATATGAAGCATATGCAATTACTTTCAATGAACAAGTCATTTTAACAAATATAAATTGTGTTTAAACAGCCCACAGGAACTGGTGTGCACAAAAAGAAAATTGTACATGTGTTGACTGAGGAGAGTCTCATCAAGCCAGAGGACTTAGTAGAAATAAAATCTTTCAAGAGAAATTCTTCAGATGTGGAACATGTCAAATATATTATTGATAAAGTAGAAAAAGTACAAGAGACTAATAAGAATAAGGAACCATTTCGACCTTATAAAACAACAAAAAGTAATGTGCATGATCCAATGAAGGAGAAACAAAGAAAGCAGCATAAAAATTGGGAAGTTACAGCAGCTACCCCACCTCTTATAGTTCATGGAGCAGCTAAACTTGTAGATCTGAAGGAATCCTTGAGATTGCAAAAGGAACAGAGAGAAAAATTACAGGTAATTGGTGCTTTCAAACATCTTGGAAAATTTATTTGGAAAAACAGCTGTCTTCATACAATGACATTCTAATCTCTTTTTTACAGATAATTCAAACTAAACACGCGGTAGAACGTTTAAATAATCAAGCAGGATTATACAAAATAGGTGCTATACCTAAAAACGTTGGAAATTACCGTTTACAAGACGCGAGCAACTCCTCATCTTCTTCAGACTATGAAGAAGAAAATGAAATGCATAATGAAGATTACGATAAAGGTGGAACAGTTGTGTTTACAGTGGAATCTATAGAATGTTAATATAAAATATTATATATTTTGTATATATGCGTACCGATAATTCTGAAAAAATTTATTTCCTCGAATAATTATTTTTCTTACGATACGATATTGTGTTTTTTTTAAATTACTTATATTTCCGTAAGTTAATAGGTAAAAGAATATTTCAAATAAAATGTTTAAGAAACTTTATTGTTTCTATAACATATATTAGTTATACCCAAAGCTATTAATAATAGCTGTATATGGTGCCGTCACTTTGGCGACTGCTTCACCGGCCTGTTTGGTAAGTTTCTGCAAAACATACAACAATGGTTCATAAATGACTTCTTAAAAAAAAAAAAAAAAAAAAAGAAGTGTGTGTGTGAGAGAGAAGAACTTTGAAGAGAAATAAGATCTAACATAAAGATTATTAGAAAATTTAAGAACATCAATTACCTTAAGTTTATTACGTTTTTGAACTTCCAAAATGGACCTGACACGTCTCTTATTTTCTAAAGTACGCACAACAGCTTTGTACTTCCAGCCAACTTCATGGGATAATCTACCCACATGACAGTACTAAAAAAGAAATAAGAATTCGCATTAGTATCATATTGCATCAATCGCACGATAAGTACAAGATTACCGTTTTGTAACTCAGTTTAAAGTGACAACATGAGGGTCACATGGACCAATTTCAGTCGCAAATTACCATACCATCATTGTTTATTACTTAAGCAAAGATTTAAGTTTATGACAAATAACTTGTTATATATGCAACTTGTTTTACCTTTCTGCCTGGTTTGAGACACATCACTCTCATGGCACCAGGCACAACGACGCGCTTTCTTCGGTCATATGGTGGTGGGCATCCTTCGTAAACCTTTAATCTTCTGAGGGCATCTTTTCCCCTCTGGGTCTTGTGCGGGATCATTCCTATAAATAAGAATCTTTTTTTGATATCCATGCATTTGCTGCATTAAAAGTCAGTACATAGTTATAATTTTAGCATCATTTAAGGGTATTGGTTTCATGATCTGATCAAATAATGTAGGTAAGATATTCATAATCATGTGCAAAAATTTCATTATATATACAATAAAATTGATATAGTATTAAATATACCCACCACGAACTGTTTTCCAGAGAATTTTACTGGGAGCTCGGAAATGGAATGGCCCACGAGCAGGATTTACGTTACATCTTTTTCGGAGGAAGGACATAAATTTCAACTTGTTTCTAGAAAAAAATAATATATATTGATAATATATATTGCTTGTTAAAAAACCAAGTATATTAAGTAATATAATAAATATATTAATATTTCCCCATAAAAATCAGTAATAACATTATCACAATCTATGGCAAACACTATTGTTCCTCGTATTAGAAAAAGGTAATACATAATACAATTAGTAATAGAAGATACTATTATTAATTTTCATAGTGTAGTAACATATAGTAGATATTATATATTTTCATAACTAATTTAAATTTCTACTGTACTGCGTTCACTAACCTGAAAAAGTTGCCAGAAATATTTAACTGTTCACTTCGTACAACAATAACTTTGTTGCCTTCTAAGATGGTTTTGGCAATAATTGCTGCCAAGCGTCCAAGTAAATGACCGCGGCCATCTATTAATATCGGCTGAAATCATTAGTCTACATTACAAAAAGAATTTATAATAAACAAATTGCATAGTATGATTATTGTACACGACGTTGATTCCACTCGCGAGATACAATTCGCGATCCATGTGTTCATGCAATCCAACGTAGCAAATTTAAAAACATGAAAATGTCCTATCACAATAATTACAGCGTTACTACAAAATTTTCGCCATTCGACATGCACGATACGGCAGAAATTCCGTTCGAAGTACGGACAACGCCGTAGAAAACACGTGTATAACGTGTAATAAAGCAGATTGTATTTTTAGTCCTTAACCTTCTTTTAGACATCTTTAATGAACTTACATGTTACTTCTCATGTTAAGTTATCGCGATTGCGCGTATATGTCGTGAGAAAACCATTAAAATTACTTGAAATATGAAATTTTCAAATACAAACCTTTTCACTAAAGCCCGTCATCTTGCTATCCTACCGGAAAAGGATCCAAATGAACACGCGAGCTCTCACCGGAAGATGTAGTTCAGTAGCTCGCAGGATCACCAACATTTGAAATTATTAACCGACTACTATTGGAAGATTCACACCACGCCCGATGTCCGACGTATGGGTGCGTTCAGATTCCCTACCCGGGTGCATTCTATTACTAGAAACACTATAGTATATGTTACATATACTATAGCACTTCTAGTATTAGAGTGCACCCGGGTAAGGAATCTGAACGTACCCTATGACGTCCGATATCCAAGAGTACGTTCAGATTCTTTATCCGGGTGCACTCTGTTACTAAAAACACTATAATATATGTTACATATACTATAGCACTTTTAGTAATAGATACACCCGGGTGTGCAATCTGAACGCAACCCAATAGGAGAACAGCTTTCAATGGAGAATTGAATTCTCTATTAGAAAACTGTTCTCTTATTGAATATCGGATGTCGTACGTCGGAAATCGGACGCAGTGTGAATCCTGCATATGCTACAGTCGCGTTCCGAAATTCACTGCCAGTACTGAAAATCTATAGTTTATGTTACATATATTATAGAATTTCAGCACTGGCATTGAATTTCGGAACGCAGTACTTCATCGGACTATATAGGGGTGCGTTCAGATTCCCTATTCGGATGCACTCTAGGGCTACGTTCCGAAATTCACTGCCAGTACTGAAATTCTATAGTATACGTGACATAAACTATAGAATTTCAGTACTGGCAGTGAATTTCGGAACGCAGCCTAGTACTAAAAGTGCTATAGTATATGTAGAGCCCGTATCAGACTATAGATTAGGATTGAGATTGAATTGAAATTTAGCCAATCAGAGCAAAATTCACTAAGCTCAATTTGGTGAATTTTGCTCTGATTGGCCAATTTTCAATTCAATTTCAATCTTAATCCGTAGTCTGATATGGGCTTTACTAAAGGTTCTCTACTTACCATTTACGAACATGTTTACACAATCATAGAATAGCCTTTAGTTTACCAAGAATATGGGAAATCGAGCCAATCAGGAACCCTATTCCGTAACCACTTAGAGCTGCGTTCAGATTCCTCACCCGGGTGCACTCTAATACAAGAAGTGCTATAGTATATGTGACATATACTATAGTGTTTCTAGTAACAGAGTGCACCCGGGTAGGGAATCTGAACGCACCCTAGGCTGAGTTCCCACTGAGCGCGTCACGCATCGCGTCGTCTGCGCGTTACAAGTTAACCAATTAAATCGTTCCATTGGAACAAGTGCGTCGTGCGTCACGCGTCGCGTCACTGAAATGAGGATTCTGATTGATCAATTTTCTTATGCGTGTGGCATAATGCGTTAAGGCATTATGCCTTTATGCAAGAGTGTGTGCTTCCCGCTTTACGCTTGCAACACGCGAGCGTCATTCTATTTTTGTGTTCATTGGACATTAAACAAAGATAGAATGACGCCCACGTTGTTGGAGCGTAAAGCTGATATTACATGTGTCGTACGACAAGCTTTTCGGATACGTTTATTGGTTAACGAACAGAGAACCTAGAAATACTCTATTCGCCAACTAATAAAGGTATCCGAAAAGCTTGTCATACGACACATGTAATATCAGCCTAAAGTGGAACGCACTCTATGTACCTGGTAAGAAAATGTGATAGGTCCTCTGCTCATTACCCAATTTGAGCAATCGTAACTATATGGTTTACTTCATGAGAAATTACTGAAATATTATATATATATATATATATATATATATATATATATATATATAGTATTATTTAACCATTACATCTAACTACAAAGATAGTATTTCATCGATAAAAGAAATAAACTGTATTACTTGTATAGATTCCATTCATGTAGTTTAGGTTTACGAAAAATATTTATCTGGGGTAAGCAGCTTTTTTATACCATAGAAAAGCTGCGCAACGACGTCTACCGATCCGATAATTGTCGGTAAGCGTGTACTGAATAGTACCCCTGTTCTTAACAATGGATGCTTTCCAATTGCTTAACCATCTTGACACACACATACACAAAACCAATTTATTGGTCACATATTATCTAAAATATCTTGTAAGATAATATGCAACCAATAAACTGGTTTTGTGTAACACAATGTACGCAACTGGAAAGCACCCAATGGCTTGGGATGCTTCCGAAATATCCAGAGTTGGGTCGAGTTGAGTTAGTTCCACTATAAGCTCGTATCAGACTACCGACTGCACAGGCTGACTCGACTGCTGACTATGACTGCCGATTCTCAATGGACCAATCACAGTGAGACGCCGAGTCAGCGCCTCACTGTGATTGGTCCATTCATAGTCGGCAGTCGGGTCGACCTGTGCAGTCGGTAGTCTGATATGGGCTATAGTGGAACTAACTCAACTTGACCCAAACTTGGACATTTCGGAAGCACTCTTAGTTTACATCGTGCATACGCGTGCTAAATATCTAATAGTAACTTTCTATTAGATAATCTTAATATCGACGATATATATAAACAACGGTATATTAAGCTGGTATAATACTCAACAAAACTGTATTGATTGAATGCGTCGCCATTGATATGCATTGTCAATATTAAGATTATCTAATAGAAAGTTACTCTATTTAGTACGCGTATCAAGTACACGATGGTTGCTTTCGTCAGTATCATCCTATCTTTGTTACTCACTAAATGTGAAACAAAGATAGAATGATGTTTGTATCGACTTGTGTCTCTTGTTGGAAAGCAACCGATGTAAACCAAGCCATTACTCGATTAAGGCCCGTATTCTGAGTTCTCTTTTAATGATAAATGAGCTTCCAAAAGAGGCTTAGGAGCCATCTGATTAGCTGAGAAGCTACATTTAAAGCACTTTTATCGGTAAAAGAGGATTCAGCATATGGACCTAAGAATTCCATCGTTAATTATGATCATGTTATAATATTTATTTAGTCTCTTCGATATATTCTGTGGAAATAATTCCAAATTATTCTCCAAAAAAATCACAGATCTCGTTCGAACAAGTTCGAACACATTTGTACGCCACAGCGGTTAAACCGGAACTTTTATCGAGTCATTTGATTCGGAGCATAAAAATCGTTCCTGAATGTTAAATAGATATGACGTTTACGCGTGATTAATAGCGTTAGAAAGAAAACTTACTAATTACATTCTTCTTGGATTATTCTTGGACTTTAAAGATCATCGATTCTGATTGGTTAATTTGCTTACTGTTTATATTTTTCGGCCTTGGGAGGGACCCTGCAAATTTTTCACGTACTTAGCGAGTCGCATCTAGTTATTCGCATTTCGTGATCGATCAGTCCAGCACCCGAAGTAGGAGGATCGTCCATTACGTCAAGATTTGAAAATTTAAACGTTCGTAAGGGGTTTGGTGCGGTGATTTGTGTTAACAGTGACGAGCGTGCGGTAACAATTAACGAGAACACTTATCACCGACGTAATACATGCTGTCGAAAAATCGCTGCCGATCGAAGGGTCGTGACAGCAATTACGATAACGCTAATTATTTATTTCCTTATCGTATCGCACATGTTAGTAATTGGAAACGTAATTCGAAATTGATAGATTTATATAAATTTTTCGTTCGTTTGTGAGAACAAATTCGTGCAACATGGCGACTGAAAACAGGTATCGTTCTCTCTTCACTCTCACAACACCGAGCTCGCGGCGTTTCCCACGTACGTGTTCGAGCTGTTCTCATTACCTGAGATATAAATTTCTTATAATTATACGAAGAAAGAAAATATCCGAAATCTCTCTCTTCTATTCTCTCCTTTATATCTCTCCTTCTACATGCAGCAGGTTGATTACTTGAATAAGCAGTTTCCGATAAGCATACTATATGTTTATGTTTGATCGAGACAGTTTTGTAGTTGTAAGTGTCGCTAAAATCAGTTTTTGATTGTATTCTTTTAAAGCACAACCGATAAAATCATATAAAAATTATTTTGTGAGTGTATAGTGTACCTATTCTTAAGTTTGTGTTTATAAAATTTGTTAAATTTTTTGAGATATGTAGATGTATTATTGTATCAATTGGACAAAGTTCTGAAGAAATATTTTCTTTGATTTTTATGGAATTTAATAAAAATGACCCAAATAACCACAAGTGTAGATAGAAAAACTTTTGGAACAAGTGAAATTTAATCGAGATAATGCTAATATGATGATTTATCATTCTCAACAGTCAAGGATGATATTTCATTTCTAAGTGTGTTTATCTATGTCACTGACCTCTACAATTATATTTAATATAAACATAGCATATAGTATACACATTGCGTACATATTAAATTGTTTTTATTTTATATTTAAATTGAAGGAAAATCTTTTTCAGGGAACTTTATCCATAATATTTTTAATTATATCACTTTTTGTAATTGTTTATTTATATTATGTGTGATGTTTTGTTTGTCTGTGTAATATTCTGTTTATCTGTGTATATAAGAAAAATAATATATATGTTATGTATATTATGAAATATGTGTTTTCATAGAATTATTTCTAAAACTGTTTCCTCTTTCTTTTCAGAAGACTGTGATATAACTAGACTGATAAAAGTAGTAAATCGTAGCTTATATACCTATATGATCAACACTGAGAATAAAGACACATTTAATTGTACACACACACACACACATATAACAAACATTTAAAAGTTAATCTTTAGAAACATATATTTTGCAGGCAAAGTCATATATATGTAGTTAATCTAAGTAATAAAGTTAATATAATTGCATCAAGATTAAAAAATCTGGAAATAGCAAATTAAAAATATACGGGCTATTTTTTGTTCATGCCTCGTACATATATATACATACACATATTTATAAAATTCTATGACAAAAGATAGACATCGTAAATATAGTGTCACATTGCTTCCCTGAGGGCCCAATTGTTTTGTTATTATATAGTCTATTATCGTTAATGGGATTGTTATACAATTGTTAAATTCTAGATTAACATAGTAGATCCTCAAAGGACACAGCATATATCTTGCAAAACTATATATAAAGAGAGAAGAAGAGAGACAAAAAAAGATAAAAATAACCAAAAAAAGTTAAAACAAAAACGAAGAAAATTTTAAAAAAGAAAAAACAAGACAAAGCAAGAAGCTTGAAGCTTTTTTCTAAGTATATATACAAAATAAATAAAATATTAATTATTGGAAAATACCGGTTTCTAAAAATAATTTTGAGGAACATTTAGATTGATACGCTGCTACGTTAATAATTAAACAAATAATTCGTGTCCTTCCAAGAAACAAGTCTTGTAATATCCTGTACACTTGTCTGTGGCTATGCACCATACTACTTTCTCATCACAAATGATGGCACAGATGATGAATGGACAACAGACTAGTGGACCATGCCCACCATCTCAAACTCATGCCATGCATTTCAATAATACAATGAATACAAATACATTGTACCAAACCAATTACACCCAATACAACCCGAATGTTTATGGACACGGTAGGCGTCGTACGATGCAGGTATACGTTAAAAAATCTCTTAGATCTATTTTAAATAACATAGAGTAATATTATATATCTATGCTTATTTGTTAAATATCTTTATACTTCTTGAGCATATGCGTATATATTTATATGATAAAAAACGTGTTGCAATTAATGGTAAGTCATAAATATAATAAGCATATTTAAAAAAAACTCATTTTTACATTATATAGCTACAGATTTAAAAGATTAATTATTATTTAATTTATTTGTATCAATATGCAAATATTGATACAAATAAATATTTTGTAAATAAGTATTTTGTGATATCTAAAAATTTAACTTATACATGTAAATTAGTATTGAGATTAGATTAATCATTTAAATTTTTTATCGTATTTATACTATTATGTTCAAATTACATAGATAGATATATATATATATTATATTATATTATATTTTTTATATTCATATATTTTGTCTTTCTATTGAAATATATAAATTATGTATTTACAGACAGGATTAAGGTCATTGGATTTGTTACGACAATTAGGAGTTGACATATCATCATTACGGTACATGGACTATGCACAATTAAACAATAATTTATTTTCTGCTAATTGGTCGAAAAGAATGAACGCGTTTGCGGATGTACCAGTTTTAAATGTACCTCAACAATATACCAAGCCTTTAAATAGCAATATAACAAAGAAACCAAACTGGTTCAATAAAGAAAGGCCATACAGTGGAACATTCACAAAAAATGAATCATATAATAATAGTGGGATTAGTCCTTGTCCACCAACACCAAAGAAATATTACAACAATTTAACAAAGGTATCCGATGTTACTGGTTTGTCAGGGAGGCCAGAGATAAAGTAAGTATTGTGTACTTCCAGAGTTATCCTATTTTATCTTTTTTAAATATATATTTCTATTCGAAAAATACTACGTTAAATATATATTATTAATGAAAATTAATTCCTTTTTTATTTAGTAAACATTTAGCAATCAGATCAAGAGAAATATCTTTAGAATCTTTTTTGGGGTATATACAAGAATATTGTTATACTCAGAATATCTGTCCACCAATTTCATTTCAAACATGTAGAACATGTATGAGAAAACATGGTAAGTTTATTTCTCACTTGATAATCATTTTTATACTTATGATAGGCTATGTAAGTATAGATAGATATATAACAATATATGAGAGGTGATTTATTACCAATTAAACAATTTATTTTCAGAGAAAGGTGGTTTCCCAGCATTAGGTCGTATATTTCACAAAGGCTTCATAGATCCTGATAGATATCTTACTGAATCTCGCTTGATGGAAATAACTTCTGTGCCAGGCAATTTTGTCATTGAATCGATAAAACGGGACGACCTATCACGACAAATTTGGTCGATGTTTATATCAAATCAGCAGACAGAATCTACTTATAGAAATAAGATAATGCTATGGAAAAATCTTCAACGTCATATCAGGGTAAGATATAACGTTACAATTAGTAGGTAAATAAAATGTCGCTAAAACAATTTAGAAATAGAGAATCTAAGAAATATCATATTAAACAATTTATTAATAATATATATATTTAAGAAAGTGATATCTTTTCTTATTTTGTAGAAATCATATAGAAGATACGACTTGATTATGATAGGTTCAACAATGAATGGATTTGGTCTTGAAAGTAGTGATGTCGACATGTGCCTTTTAGTTAGGCATGAAAAAGTGGATAATAGGGATACGGCCCTCTTACACTTAAACCAAACATTAAGATGCCTGCAGAGATATAGTACATGCAATTCACAAATTTTGAACCTTTTATGCAAAACCTACACTTATAAAATAAATTATATCTTAATGACTTTTTTATTTTTTGTTCTAGAGTCGGTAGAAAATCTGGAAATTATACAAGCAAAAGTGCCAATCATAAATTTTCACGATTCAAGACAAAATTTAAATGTCGATATAAATTGTAACAGCAGTGTCGCCATTGTGAACACACATTTATTATATTGTTATTCAAGAAGTAAGTTTTTTAAATATATAACATGTAATCAACATAACGTTCAACTTATTTTACAATCATGATCATAAATATTTTTTAGTTGATTGGAGGGTAAAACCGTTGGTGCTAATTGTGAAATTGTGGGCTCAGTTTCATAAAATCAATAGTGCAAGGAATAATACATTGTCCAGTTATTCTTTGGCTCTCATGGTCATAAGCTTCTTACAGTGTATGTATGCAATAATAATGTTTAGTTTTTCGGCTCCAATTCTGAGAATATCGATGTTGCTATTTTATAGGTGGCGTCAACCCTCCAATTCTGCCGAACTTACAATATCATACAAGCCACTTTCGAAGTTTTTATCACGAAGATATTCAGCCCATTATTGAGGATATTCATAAAAAAGATCTAGGACCAATATACGTTGATTCTTCGTTTTATCCTAGCAAAAATACACAATCTCTCGGAGAATTGCTTCATGAGTTCTTTAAATATTATCTAAGTTTTGAGTGAGTGATTTCAAATACAAACGATATGGGATACTTTTGAATCACATACACATTTCAACAAATAATACATAATTTTCATGTCGTTAAATCAGATTTGAACACCATGCGGTATCTATAGAGGCGGGATATAAAATAAAGAAAGAAACTTGTCGTTCGGCAACCTACCCCAATAACAACCGTGGTCATTGGAAATATATAGGTATCGAAGGTAAAATTACAAAATATTCCTTTTATATGTATGAGTTTCGAAAACACACTGCTTGTTACATATGATATTTATTATAATCATTATGATATTATAGAACCATTTGACCGCACCAATACAGCGAAAGCTGTCTTTGACAAGAAGATATTCTACAGGATTCAATCCGTGATTGGTCAGTCGTACAAACGACTGGCTGATAGTAATGATCTCAACAGTTTATTTATTGAGATACCAGAAGATCAATGTCCATCATCTGAATTACATGAATTTGATGTACACGCCATCTAAATACTTCGTGTCTAGTATCATCTAGATCGGCATAAAAAAGCGTAATCATCAACTAGAACGTAAATAATACTTAAAAGTGCTCTATTTTTGATGATTCTCAAGGATTCGATTGGATCAGAAATAGCAGGGATCAGGGATGTTGTTGGCTTAAAGGTCTGTGGATATAGCTGGATAAAGAGAAGCGGAATAAGGTTGTTTAGATTTCTTTTTACACGATGTGTTTAGCATATCTTGCAATATAACAACTTTTTGAACAATTGATAAAAATTGTGAGAGGTAGAACAGAATGATAATTTATTCTGTGTTTCATTTTTGAATGTAATTTATATTCTTTGGTTTTGTAATTGTTTGTGAAGAATTTCAGAGCTATTATTGACTTTATACCACCTGGAAAGAAGACAGAATGATTTCTGCGTTGACTTAACGCAGTTTAGATATGAGCTTATGTCTGATATTTCTCTTTTCTCTGAAAGAATACTAATTGTATAAAAAAGCAAGTATTATTTGGTTCTAATTATTTTGTGGCGTGTATATTTTATTATGTAATCTATAGTTCAAAAAAATTTCTATTGAGAGAATATGTTGTTAGAGAATAACATTACATAACAGTATACAAGTGGAGTTGCGTAACTTATTATAGAAAAATATAAATTCAGTCAAAATTTGTATCAAAATTAAATCGGTCCTTTCGAATACTTTTCAATATTAAATATATATTTGAGATCAAAATGCACATATAAATATATGCATATATACGATTAACTTATTTGGCTTTCGAATATATTTATTTTTTTATTTTAAATAATATTTTCTATCTTTTCTTGGTTTATAATATTATATAAAAGATACTATTAGAAATTTATATATTTCCCATATAAAATGAGTTTCTTTTCCTAAGAATAGCAATTATAAAAAATAAATGCTGTTTTTTCATAGATAATGCTACTTTAAAATATTATTTTAACATTAGGCGCATAGTACTAATTAATATATAGTCATTAACGTAAAAGCAAACCGCAATTTTTTCCGAATGGCAGAAATCGTCGTATCTGTGGAAAATGCTATATACGATGTTAATTCTGAAATTCTTCCACAACAAGCAATCTAAAAATTAAAGAACATTAAAATAATTCAACATTTAAATGATGAAAAGCACACTTATATCACAAAACAAACTTAGACAGTTGTATTTAACTTGGTTCTATTCTTCTAAATCGTTTTTAGACCAGCGGAAATTAAGTTGTCAGCATTTAAGAAAATATGAAGTTATTGTTTAGTGATTTTAGTTACTTTAATCTGATTCAAAATTATTTCAATGTGTTTGTCTTAATGTTTATTGTGTACATATATATATGTTATTATTTTGTGCAACAATCACACACACACACACACACACACACACATACACACACACACGCGCGCGCAATTAATTAACGAATATAGAATATATTACTATTTTGTTAAAATTATATATATTAACATATTCTCAATCAAAGGTCTGAACTATAGAGGTTGCATAGAATCTATACGTTATAAAATATTAAAATAATATCCTAGTTAACAGAATCATAAAAAAGGAGAAAGCAATACTTTTTTTTTTTGTATAATTACATAAGAAATAGCGGACGTAAACTCTGCTTTGTATCGAAACTCTGTTAATGAACTGTAAAAACTATTTGTCTTCTTTCAGGGTATTGTACAGTCAATGATAATGTTGAAATCCTACGAAAAACTAGTCTAAAATTACAGGTTATCAGTTAAATTAAAAGATAAAACGAAGGACGTGTTACTATTCTATTTCTTGTAATTATTATAAATTGTTCGAAAAAAATAGCTGAATGCCTTAATATACCAGGCATATGACAAGATGTTTAGAACAGACTTATTCCACTTCCTTCTGTTTTTCAAAATCATTAAATCATTAAGCGATATCTTGGCATTTTCTTAAATGTTGACGATTTATATTCTGCTGGTCTAAAACGATTTAGAAGGATGGGACGAAGTGCAATCAAATTGTTTAGACTGCCTTGCAATATTATTGCAATATTATTTTGATTTTAATATGTAAGTTATGTAAGTTTAATTTAGTATTTCTATTTTTCTTTCTAATCTTTTGCTTTTTATGGAAAAATTTCAGAATTTGTTTCAATTGTATAGCATTTTTGAAAAAAAACCACAGGATGGTTTCTGTCGTTCGGAAAAAAACATCAGAGCGCTTTTAATTATTATTTACATTCTAGTTAATGAACATCAATGCGAATCTCGCGATTAGTGTTATGCGTCTAACATTAAAATAATACTGTAGAATAGTAGCATTATCTATGAAAAAAAAAGAAATAAGATAATAAAATTTATTTTCTTCTATATATATATATATATATATATATATATATATATATATGTTATTTAAAAAAGGAACGAGTGTAAGTTCACATGGAAAATATATAAATTTTTGGTATTATTTTTTGCATATTAAAAACTAAATATTAAAAACCAAACAAAAAAATGTTTATTAAAATCAAAATCTAAATATTAATAATATTTTGATCTGAAATATATATAATATGGTAAGGCTGTGTTTCTTTGAAAATAATTTCATATGTGATTATAAAATTCGCGAATATAAAATATACTTGTGCCTTGAATAATCTATTTATTTGAATTGTTACTATTTTAGTTATGTATGAAACTGTACACATACTATTCAGTCTCATTCTTTTGCTTCTAATTCTTTTCCTTCAAAAACATATACGATTCTGTGATGGTACCTCTGGTGATGTTAAATTCACATATATGAAAAATGAAATGTTGTGTGTTTGTAATATGTACAATTTAATTATAGTAACAACGTAATAACTATACTTAATTATTATAGTCATAGTAATTATTGTAGTAATTACATTAACTTTAGTTTCTTGTACACAAAGTATGAATTATAGACAAAACAAATTAAATGTTACCATTTTGATTACATTATTAATCTACATTACAATATTCCATAAATGTATAGCTTTTACGTAATTGGCTCCGAATTTTCCAATTGAAAAGAACCGATTTAATTCTGACATAATGTTTAACTTAATCTATATCATTCTATAATATGTTATATATCTCTAGCATGTATCACTTTGTATATAGAAATGCTGTTCTTCATTATATATTTATAAAAGCAAAAAAAAGAATGAGACTAGTGAGAACGATTAAAGAATTCGAATGAATCATGTTAAATTCTAGGCGTCAAATTCATCATGTAAATAATTAAGATGAGTATCACTAAGTAACTATTATAAGCAGGTAACTTAGATAAGTATCATTTAAATAATTGTGCAATTCTGCAGTTCTGTGAAAAGTTAGTTTAAATGTATGATCTCATAAATCTATAGAATTTGTAATCCTAATTTTCTTATTAAATAAATAAAACGTTTATATGAAATGTTATATGCGTATAATGTACATTACTGTATGCATCTTTGTTTCAATGGGGGAAGCAATAACAAAACATTTCGTTTTCAAATCAAATTTATTTTTCCATAAGAGAGAGAGACCTCACAATAAATTTTATTATTATAATCTGCAGTTAGCGGTGCGCTGTTGGTCGAAGAGAAAAAATAAAGTAATTTAGTATTGCATAACGCAAGTTACTTTTTCTTAATTTATTACGATATATAATTAATCGATTATCACCGCCACAGAAGTCAGTACAGAGCGTAGAATTAGTAAGCAGAAACACAAGAAAAAAAAAACAGAAAAATTTACTAATAAAAATACCTATAAAGAATATTTGATTTAGTTGATGCGACGATTAAAATATTTGCTAATGCAAATCAGTTGTCTTTTTTACTCCAATAATAGACTGAGCGTATCCGTGAATAACGACTTTGCACGTGTGTGCGCGCGAATGCGTATATAGATTATATTTTACATATATCCCAATATTTTTACGCCGAGAAATACATACTTGTTTCACAGAAAATCTATTAGCGCATATCTTCTAAACTTCGCACATGCTTAATTCATATTTGCATATGTATATAAAATCGTTATTCACGAATGCAACCCGCATAATATTGCCGTTACGGATAATAGCATTATCCGGAAAAAAAAGAAATACAGGTGGGAAAAAATACACGCAATGATCTAGTCACATGTGATTTGTCATATCCACTATATCCAAAAAAAGCATAAATGTAAAATTTTCATTTTCGAATTTAATCATCTTACATATACAAAAGAACGATATTCTTTGAATAATACGTCCTGGAACAATTTCCGTAGCATCTTTCTTAAGAACATCGAGCCTGCTACAGCTCTCGTAAAAATGTCTCTACTGGAAGAAAATAATTTCTTTTCTTTTCTTACGCCCTGCCGACCTCTGCGGTAAATAAGCAGTAGATGTAACATAAAAGAAATCTAACAATAATAAACATGATCAATATAATTAAATTTTACGCGGCCGGCCGAGCACGCCGGCCAGCCCTCCGACGAAGGATGTCCATCCTTCGCGATGATGCTGAAGTATTGGCCTCATACTGTCTGACGACGGTTGGCTTTCTTCGACAATGTTCCGTCGGAGAATTTGATATCGACCCTCCGTGCGACGTGCGCCCACGTATTCAAGCGGCAAGTTCGTAGTACGGTGATGGTACCTTTAGTTTGGCTCTCAACTCTAGATGGTAATCCGGATTAAGAGAGAGAGAGAGAGGAATCACGTGTTATCGAGGGACTTGTTCGCCTCGGTTTGCAGACAACCAAATATTACATTTAGCTTGTTTCCTTTTTTTCTCGTTTCGTTCCTATTTGTTAACGCCGTTGGCGAAGTGGGAGGAGCACGTAGTTCTGATGCTATCGTGGCCCGATCTTCCGTAGCTCATAGACCGCTGTAAAGATCTTCCACGAGTGTCTTTCGTATCGTAGATATGTCCGATATGTATTATGTCGTCATTACTGATGCTACGTTGGCACACTTTGTCGAATTCGGTCGAGTCATGAAGCGCGTTACACGTCTCATTTTTTTTTCTTGATTTTTCAACGCTTTTTTAAGTATTTTTATCTTTTCTTTTTTTCTTTTTAACTCTAGCGTCACTCGATCCCCGCGATAAAACGGTCCGTTCACGGTAAGCGCGTGGTCACAGTGATTGGTGGTAGTTGTTTGTCGTCTTTCCGCCTCTCTGTGTGTCATGTACGTGTACGTGTATCGCGTGCGCGTATGAGTTGTGTGTGACGTCTTCGTCCAGTCCTTAGTAGTTGCACCCGTTACAGCCAGTACAGATGGGCGAACCTTGCCATCTGCGCCGTTCACGATGGAATGTCCTCGAACGGCGAATTGGTCCTTATTACGGAATCCATCGTTCTCCTCTTTCGTCCCCCTTTTATCTCACGCCGACGACTGCAATGTATTGCATATACCGTACTCGATCGCCGAGCCGTTTTACCGTTTTGCGCAGTTAGTGATTTGTAGTTGTTGGTCGAAGAAGAATTGGTCGAACGAGCCCTCAGTCGCTCCCGCGACGCTGCATGGCAATTGCGTTGCTCAGCCGTACAGTCTCGGCTCAATAAGGCTGGGAGAACTGTCCCCCGGCCTGCGACTGTCCGGATTGGTAGAAACCGCTACGGTCGCCTTGATAAGTCGAGTCCTGCGACAGCAGACCATCCATCTGCGATTGGAACTCACCCACGGCAAACGAATCCTGTGAGAGTTCTGCTTGACTCAGACCAGGCTGCGAAAGACTGAAACCTGGTTGCGACATGCCCTGCGTCGTACCCTGGGTAAGCGGCAGACCTGGTTGGCTATACGGTTGTGTATTCTGTTCGGTTTGACTCAGCTTGCCCATACGTGGACCCGATTTGTTCCTGGTGGTACTGGTGACGCCGCGACGGTTACGTTGATTTTGCCGCGCCTGTACGGCCTGCTGATGCTGATTATAAAAACGTGGCGGCACATGTGCCATGTTCATGAACATACCCACCGGCACAGGTACATTATTCATTGCTGCTTGCGCTCTTTCCGGACTGATGTAGCTGATGGTGTCGTGAGTCCTGCTGAAGATGTCGAGTGGCACATTTCTCTGGTAGTATGGGTTGTGATTCTGCGCACCGTTCACCTGACCGCTGCCTGAGCGATCATATACGGAGCCAGGGATCAACGCTTCTCGCGCATCATACATGGACGTGGACATAAAGTGAGAGCCCGGATTGGCCGCGTTCACGAGTTTCTTCGGTTTGGCGAACTGGATCATTGATTCCTTCAGATTGTTCAACGGACCCTCGACTAATACCTTTTGCTCTTTATAGAAATTAAGCAAGTGGTTCCAGAGTGCTTGCTTTGAAAGCACTTTAGGGTTGCCAACGATGATGATACCATATTTCGCGCGAGTCAGTGCTACGTTCAATCTCCTAGGGTCGTTCAAAAATCCGATGCCTTGATGCTCGTTGGATCGCACGCAAGACATTATGATGATATCCTTTTCACGTCCTTGAAAAGCATCCACGCTCGCTACTTCGATCTCTTGATACAGTTTCGAATGCAAAGAGCCTTGGTACTGCATGTGCTGCACCAGGAAAGCTCGTTGACCTTCGTACGGAGTGATAACTCCGATCTGCTCAGGTTTTACACCGCAACGTAGGAATCGGGTGGTTATTTTCTCCACGTTGGACGCCTCGGTGCGATTCAAGTAAGACGTGCCACTACCTGCTATCTCCTCTTGACCTTGAGTAACATAGAAGAACATTGGTTTGTCTTGCACGGGCCAAGGGAAGTCGATCTTCAATAACTTTCTTTCATCGGCGCATACGCCATTCTGCAAGGAGCCTTCGTAAAAGAAATTGGATGGGAATCGCGAGAGATCAGGATGCATACGGTACTGCACTTCTAGTCGGAAAGGCCTGATTCCAAGCACAACCAATCTCTCGAACAGCGACTGTGACAAACCCGCTCTAGCGGCTTTTTTGCACATTACTACTGGACCCAATTGACAGTGATCTCCGACGAGTATCAATTGCTTGGCTCCTAGAACGACTGGTACCATGCACTCCGGCTCGGTGGCCTGCATGCTTTCATCGATGAGGATCGAATGGAACTTTAATCTGTGTAATCTCGGGTCTCCGGCGCCGACACACGTACAGCAGATTACGTCGGCCGCCTCCAGAAGTTCCTTTTCTGCCGCTTTCTTCAAAAGTCTATAGCGTTTCTCGTCGACGCTTGACAACTCGCCCGTTTCATCTTTCAGCTGTTGCAACTTCTGCAGTTCGGTATTAGTTTCCATATTCTTGATTTGATTGTGCAGCGCGAGGAAACTGACTGGCGAATCAATAGCTTCTCGCGATTTCGCACACAATCGTACAACCTTCAGATTCGACTTGTGTATTTTCTCGGTCAATTGGTCGACCGCGGTGTTAGAGGGTGCGCATACAAGAACTGGACCACCGTTCTGCTTTACTAATTGGTAAACTATGGTAGCGCTCGTTACGGTCTTGCCGGTGCCAGGTGGTCCTTGGATCAAGGACAAAGGTCGTTGCACTGCGTGCTTTACGGCGTACACCTGAGATCTGTTTAAGTCGGGCAGATTCGGAGCGCTAAAATGTTTAGGGAGATGACAGCGAAACAAAACTTCTTCCACTTCGTGACCCAATAGCCGATGATATATATAAGCCGATACGGATGCGTCATCCACAGCAAACTTGCGCAACGCTGATTGCATTCTATAATAAGAGATAAAAATAAAAATATACTCTTATCACGATAATTGTAGATAGAGAGCAATATAGATATACTACAATTTTATATGACTATATACATTCTTACCGATCAAAACTTGTACTCTTCCAGATGAAATCAACAACAAAGTTACTGTTACATTCTGTCGGCGCTCCAGAATTGTTTTTAAGTTCAATCCCAACTTCTTCACCGTAATTGTCGGGGATTTTAATCACGTGTCCGATTCCGGACCAAGGTTTATGAAGTTCCCCAAGGTAACGAAGTCTCAACTCATCACCGTGCATCAATTTCATATCGCCATCTGTTTTAGCGAGCATAAAATACGCGATGGTCTTTTTATTTAATCCAACATCCCATCGTACCTCGATATTCTCTTGGGTCTGAGATTCTTTCAGCCGTTTGTCATAATCAGCCTCTAATTTTACAAGTGGACCAAAAATATTCTGATATTGATATCCGTCTTCATAACGCAATAAAACCTGCTGCGGCTCCTCGTCCACGCCAGGTTTTTCTAGATCTTGGAAAGTTGCGTCTACATTGTCCCGCCATAACTCCTCTAATTTGTTAATCTGCTGTGCGGAGATTTGTCTGGCTCTCAGCTGCTCCTGTTCGGACGGTATTTTCACCAGCCAGCATAAAAAACTACGATCTTCAATTAAAGGTTTCCATTGCTCCTGATCCCTGAGTATTATCAAAAGCAATTGGTTAATGTGTGCATATGTCATGGAATATACATATGCAGATCTTTTATTCATTGAATTATATCATGTATAAAGATAATTTGTTCTTACCAATTCATATCTTTCAGGGAACTCTGTGCTGCGCATGGCTGTCGACAAAGTAACACGACTACAGAATCAGCTTTGGCAGGAATAAAACCCAATACAAAAACATTTCTTGTAGCACAGTTATAACATTCCAACACTGTTTCTCCAAGAGGACCATCTCTGTAATATTATTAGCTTTCAGAACTGGTCATACATGCACATGTGTATATATATATATATATATATATATATATATATACATATATATATATATATATATATATATATATATATATGTAGAGTGAAGGTATAATAAAATTTTTCTGTCAATATTTTTGGAAATAGTCATGCGAAGTATCTTACTCTGTGTGTGTGTGTGTATTAGTGTGTGTGTATATATAATTTATAATATAAGAAACTTAATTAGAAAGAGTGCTTAATTGCTACTAACCTATACTTAATATGCAATTAATTTATATTAATATAACCTTTAACTTGTAATAAAAAGTTTAGGAACAAACATATTGAAAGGTGTGTATATATATATGTGTATATATATGTATATATGTATGTGTGTATATACATATACATATATATATATATAAAGTAACATTAAATTTCATATCAGGCAAGAATATTACCTGTGTAAAGTGACTTCCTTATGCTTAGCACGCACAAGATGATTGATAATGTGTGATCCTGAAGTATTACCACGTCCATTGCAAAACCATTTGCGGCAGATGTTGCACATGACCACACAGGAAGCTTCATGGATGCCACAGTATTTACAGGCATGTTCAGGCAAATCACGATTATAGTAAGCCTCTTCTTCTTCCTCTTCAAATTGTAATTCTGCAAGACTCTGAGCTGCTCCAGTAATTTTCAAATCCAATGATGAACTACCACTTGTTCCATTCACCTAAATAATAATAAAATATCCTAAGCTAGTACGCATAGGAATAATTTTATAAAACAAAATAATAATTAAATATATAAAATACATATAAAATAAAATATTAGTATTTAAAGATTTTTACATATAGATAGTAAGGTTACTTACTTGAGCAGCAAGAGCCAAATAAAAAATTTCATCGAGCAAAAAGTTAAATACATAATTGAAATTTTTTTGTTTTATTTCAAACATAAATAATCATTACAGTTTTCCTTGCTTTTCAATCTTTTTGAGATTTAAAATATAAGATCTCCTTAATGCTTTTAAAGCGCAAGAATAATTTTATAAGAATGGCACAGATACATTTAACCTCGAATTCGCAACTAGTCCGGAGGAGACATGAAACGGAATTCGGCGATCTTTCAGCGAGCTATCAAGGTCACGTCAGTGATCATTACATTCACTCGTCGGAAGTTTGATAGAGATCAGGAAAAAATGTTACATTAAAGCCGTTATAGAACGCGAGTAGTAATCGTCCGTATTATAACGAGCATCGTTAAGAAAAGGAGCATGATACGAGGTTAGGTGCATGCGACTACGTGGCTAAGAGAGACACTTCGGATCTTTTCCACGATATTTTCCATGCAATTGCGGTTGTTGCCGCATGAATATTTGCTAGTCCCAATACGCGTAATGTGCATCGGGACTTGTACACCAACCTGCACAGGCTGACTCGATTGCGTCTGTGTCGCGTCGTGCTGCGAGGCCTGAGTCTGGCTCGGTGATGGTAGAGTGAAGTCCGTGAAGTCGAATTCGCTGCCCTGAGTATCTGCACCGATCAGATCTGCCTCCTCGGTATCGAGGAACGTTAGGGTCTGGCTACTAGGCCCGTACGCGTCCACACTCATCTCGATACGGTCAGATCCGTCCTTCTTTGTCTGTCTACACCACTTTCGTTGTTCCTCTTGACGTCCCTGCCGGGAATAAAGTCAGCAGTCCGTGCGCTGCTTGTCGCGGCGCGTACGCACACGTTTCACCAATGTGACAACGCAGTCGTAGTGTTACGAATGAATGAATGAATGAACGGACGAATGAGCAAGTGAACGACACGAGCGCGTGATAACGAGCCGGTTTTAATGTACGGCCGAGCGAGGCTACAGACGAAGGACCGGTGATGAGACGAGCTACAACTGACCACCTCCACACCGTATCTCGACGACCTCGTACGCACGGGAAAACCGACACGAGTACACAAGATACCTCTGAAATTTCTCGCGAGAACGCTCGTCGTATGTTACGTCATCAGCTGATCGAGCCAGAGAAAGAGTACTGGAAACGGATGTTGCTCACATAGAATGGTTTTATGTTGGTAGACAGGAAATAAACTGTACACTAGTGACTTATAAATCATTATCCAATTGGCTGTACCATCGACTTATAGGAGTGCATTCAGTGCTGGGGTTCTGTAAGCCTAGTGGCACACAAAAAAAACTTAAGCAGTAAACGTAAGCAGTAAGTAAATTGACCAATCACAGTCATTGATTCTTCTTACGGTCCAAGAATCAACGACTGTGATTGGTTAATTTGCTTACTGCTTAAGTTTTTTTGTGTGCCACGGCCCTAAGTCCCTATCCACAATAGGTGTAGTAAGCTTTAAGCCTTCAGCCCGTATCAGACTACCGACTGCAAAGGCCGACCCGACTGCCGACTACGACTGCCGACTCTGAATGGATCAATCACAGTGAGGCGCAGAGTCGGCAGTCGTAGTCGGCAGTCGGGTCGGCCTTTGCAGTCGGTAGTCAGATACGGGCTTTAAGAAATTAACCAATCACAGTCAAATTTGAGGAGAATAATCGATTGCAATTGGTCAATTTCTTAAGGCTTAAAGCTTACTACACCTATTGTGGCTCGGGACTAAAGCCCGTATCAGAGTGCAAACCCATGCAGCGGAATAGCGGAGCGCGGAACGAGAGCGGAACCAATCACCTTCAATATCATCAATATTGGAGTCAAAATAAATATTTTTACCAAAAGAGCTGCAAAAAGATATCAAAATTCGAAAAAGGCCTTATTGTACATAATTACCCGAAAATGAATCAGGAATATTGAAATACTAGATAGTACACCGATCGTGCCTTCCACCGACGGTACTTCCACAGCAACGCTTGAGATCGATATTTCGGCCAAATATATGATTTTTTAATATTTAATTAAAATTATCTGCATGACTCACAAACCTTTTTAATGATACTTCATAACTCTTCATACGAAATACAAACGATACCATACCGAACCTTTGTTTAATTTATCTCCGGTCATTATTTTCGGCTAAATACATGGTCCAAAAAAGAATAATTAATTACAATAGAATGACTCGCAAATTTTTTCAATTGCACTTCAAAACTCTTCATACGAAATACAAACGATACCATACCGAACCTTTGTTTAATTTATCTCCGGTCATTATTTTCGGCTAAATACATGGTCCAAAAAAGAATAATTAATTACAATAGAATGACTCGCAAATTTTTTCAATTGCACTTCAAAACTCTTCATACGAAATACAAACGATACCATACCGAACCTTTGTTTAATTTATCTCCGGTCATTATTTTCGGCTAAATACATGGTCCAAAAAAGAATAATTAATTACAATAGAATGACTCGCAAATTTTTTCAATTGCACTTCAAAACTCTTCATACGAAATACAAACGATTTAAAAGAATAGTTTTCCAACCGGAGTTTTTTTCCGGTTAAGTACATACGAATCCGTTCCGCTATTTCTTTTTCCATCTGAACGCACCCTTAAGATAGTACTTAATAGCGTGTTTGACGGGTGGGACCCGATTGACCACGTTACGATTGGACACAGATTGTAATGATTGGTTAGACCTAGTAATTCATTAGATAATTCTTTTCATCGGTTGGTTGTGTTCAATCGTACTGTGGTCGATCGGGACGCTCCCGTGTTCGACTAGTCCTGGGTTAATTGAGAGTGATTAATGATGTCGTAAGTCTCTATTAGTCAATTATAAAGCTTATAAGTACTTGTTCGACCAATAAAACCCAGAATGGGTTAACCCAGAGCCAGTCAAACATGCTATAAGATGATCTTAAATATAAGATCAGACTATGAATACCGGCCCAAGGCCTTAGGACTTCATAGTCCGATCTTATTTCAAAACCGTCTTAAGTAATGTCTTAAGATGCGAATACGGCTCTGTGATTGGTTCATGACATCTTAATACAGTACTTAAGATGATCTTAAATATAATAGCGTGTTACTCACCCTGGGTTAATCACTCCGAGACCGATTAATAACGTAATAAGTCTCTACTAGCCAATCATAAAGCTTATAAGTACTTGTTCGACCAATAAACGTAGGCTGAATAACTCAGAGTGGATTAACCCAGAGCCAATCAAACATGTTATAAGATCGGACTATGAATACCGGCTATAGGCCGATCATATATTTAAGATCATCTTAAGTACTGTCTTAAGATGTCATGAACGAATCATAGGCCGATATTCATAGTCGGATCTTATATTTAAGAAGTAAGTTAGGCTTAAGTTTATCTTCAGATGATGTACAGGTTATTTCATTGGCTACGGAGTATCTAAAGATGAACTTTATAGCGAATTCGGTAGCTTGCACTAGTGC